ACCCCCCCCCCCGTTTCTCCCCCTTACAAGGCCATTGTCGGTCTGAAGAATTATTATTGTGACTGGGAGCGGGAGAGCGATCAAGATTTGTTGATCCGAGCGTCTGTTGCAACGCCATTTTTCCGAATGGATTTGCAGATACCCCTTTACCAACAGCCGGAGAGGCACTACGAGCGTCGGGCGACACCGCCGCAACCCGACCGAACCAGCAAGGTGTGCCTCTGCCCTGCCTTAGAGTAATGCACAAATCAAGGCCCCAGGCCAATATTCTTGATTCAAGCGTTCGTTCGTTCGTTAACCTCAATTTGATGTGTCACCTAATTATGCTAGATTATTATTATTCGTTAATGTCGTTGTTTCGTTGATATCGTTCTTTTTGTTTTCTGATAGTGAACCGTGCATAGATTTTGTCGTCGAAAGTCGCAATTATCAGTATCGTATTATCGCAAGACCGAACCCCGTGTATCTCTTGTTAGTCTGACCAAGAGCTCGCTTTTTAAATGACGCTCGTCGATGATCATTAAACCTTTCATGGTTATTTTCATGAAATCTTTGTTGTACTTCACCTGTGTCTCCCTTTTGTTCAACGGTCGTGCATTTGTATTTGACAGTTGATTTCTGGTCTTACTGTTGTTGTTCTTGTCGTCATTCGTGACGGTACTTAACGTCATCGTTATGATCATCGATGTTTCTTAGTCATGATTGTTCCGGTTGTTGTTGTTGCAACCGTCAGAGTCCGTCATATAACGTCGCGGTTGTTTCTGTTGTTGTTGCCATAGCAACGTGTCCCAGGCTCTTCTCATTGGTCAGCCTCGGTTTGTCTCTCAGCGGCAATCCGAACGACCTGCCAATGAATGCGGATTTTCGTGTACGATGACGATGACGAAAGCTCTTGGTCAGGTTGACAATGTTGTTGTCGTCACGAGAGTGAAGAAGGGTCTTGATATCGTCATGCGAACGGTCATACGGTAGATTAGGCTATGAGATGTGCCACGTGGATCACAATGGTAGCTGCTTGAAAATTTAAAGGCGAGCGTGAAATCGAGAGTGGGAATAACTGTGACGTGTGAGTGAGTGGGAGAAAGTGGATGAGAGCACGAAACCCCATGCCGTCGTGACGGAGACGAGGTTGCGTTTGTGGGTTGGAAATATTAAATTTCGCTCTAGGATCCACGTATCACTCAAAATAGCCAAAAATTAGTGAGAATGCACTTGCGAACGGTTTGATTGGTGATGTGTTGTTTATGTACGTCGAGAATTAGATTAAAAGTGTGTGTGCAAGATTAGGTGCTAAGACGCGTGCGCTAATTATATATATATATATTGTTACCAGCCCATAACCATATAATTATATTTTTATAGTCACTTGCAATCGTCCTATCGAACAGTATTGCTTTTTAATTATTCAGAGTCGCACGATCAAATTCACGGATAATTTTATAACGCGATATCAATTTTGAATAATATACGAAGATCGAATTGAAAAATGGGTTATAAATAAAATTACGAGGTTGAACCTCCTTCGGTAACGCTCAAGATGATTAAAATTTCGAAATGCAACTCGGTTCATTGATTATTGGAAATCGATTTATTGACAATCGATGCAAGTCCGAGCAAACGGCCCCATGCCGATCGATCATAATTGGGTTTGCGGCTGCTTAGAGGTAAATGAAAATAGCCAATGGTCGCATTTTTTTTTTTATAGAAGATTATTCCAAGACGTCTGTCCTAGGATCGATCGAGCAATCGAGTTCAAAGTTCAGTCCGAGTAGTCGGGACCATCGAGTCACAAAGAGTTTAAACTATCTAGCCGCGTGCGAGGTTTAATGATCGATAAATCATTGCGTGGAGTAAATATGCCAAGAACTTCCTAAGATCTGTTCGAAGCTGCATATTGATATATGATCACAATTAAAAATCACAAAACTCCCTGGAGCTTTCGATTCGGTACACCTAACCAATCCCTTTCGTTCCAATCGAAGCTTTATCATCCGAAAGCGGCTCGTAACAATATATATAAATATATGAAACCTCGATTGCAAGCTTTCTCGTGTCAAAGCAAAAGCACAGCGAAGTTCCATTACATAGAAGTAGGTTTGATTAACCCGCAAGTAGCAGCGTGAGATGTCCCGGAGGCTTCAGCTCGATGGATAAAGAATTCATAATAGAGTCACGCTGCTATTCGCGGATTAATGGTAGTGATAAATATTTAATCATAGTAGTCTGGCAATAGTCGTAGCGGTAGTCGTGGTCGTGTTTGGTTGATAAGTCTATCGACGTGGTCCGATACCTGGTCACGGTCCACGATGACTCATCGTGGCGCTTGTGACCGTGAATGACGAATCGATGACGGCGATGACGAATGTTGACGGCTTTGAAGTTTTTGTGATCGAAGCACGACTAGTACGAGAGAAACACGTTACTTTGACATGAATGAGTTTGCAAGCGACGAAAACAATCGCGGTAGGTTTTGCCGGCCGATCGTCATTTAGGTATCTTTTTGTCTGTCTGCTGCTTGCTTGTCAATTTTTTCGACGTAAATAATATAAAACACGTATTGTCCACATGTTAACCAACTGACAGTCCCGATTGTGCCCATGCTGTTGATTGCGTGAATTCATTATTGACATTGTGAATCATTTGTGATCGTGTTCGATGTATGCCTTAATCCTTCGCGTTCGTCATGGATCATCCGTCAGTCCTGTCATCCGATCGTCATCCGTCAGTCCTGTCATCCGATCGTCATCGTCTGTCGTCACGATCATCACAAAGCACTAGCCCATCGTCATTGATCGTTTCGGGTCGGTAGCCTTTGCGACCCTTTTTCATTCACCTCGCATCTTCATTTCCTCGAACAACAACACTTTTGGTAACTCCAGTATCCACGCTGATCCCGGCAAGTCATTCTTCCTCGTGCCCGGGAACGGGACCGGGATAAAATGTCAGGGAGTCATTACACAACACGTATTACGAAAAATGGACAATCGACGTAACAATTTTGCGATTTTTTAATATTTCTTTTTCCTTATAGCTGCTAATAATTTTTTGTTATATACTTATTGAAGGGGCGAAAGAGAAGGAGGATCATTGATTTGCTGGTGGGCGCCATTTTGCCTCTGCTGCCCGTCTGTCATTCGATATATCGATATCTCTCGAATGCCAATTGAGAATGCGACTGCAGCTTCGTTTCACTATTTAAATCTTTATGCTCTTTTCTATCTTTGTCTACTATGACGCCTCTCGTGCTAATCTCCACCCCCCCCCCCCCTTAAA